ATCACTGAATGGGAACCGAACCCACCGTGTCATTACGCAATCAGTGACCTTCATTTAATGTCACTCAATTTTAAACTTGTTTGATCATGTTTGTCTGCATAAATTTACTTTAGGCATGTGCTCTTTCAATTTTTTTTCAGATTTCAATGTCCGATTGGTTGAGAGTGCAGAGCTTGTCCTTTCACATCAAGCTTTTGAAAGGCATCCGATTTCCTTGTGCTAACTCATTTCTCAGCTTTCATCTTCATTTCATGATAAAAATGAATCCAAGCAGAGTAGTGATAGCCGTATCCCTCCCAAACATACATCTCCTACTTTGCTGAACTCTTTTGCTTCTGAGTAACATCATTAAACAGACCTGAGGTGGATTTGTCATAGAAAAAAATACAATTAGCACATTAAGCGACATGCTTGCATTACGATTTGTCAAAACAACTACAATTAGCACAGTAAGCGACATGCTTGCTTTACGATTGGATAATTTTGCAGATTATCCCTCCACACATTCAGGTTTCCAGGCAGTTGGAGCACATTCTAGCTAACTTTGAGCAATGGGCAGACGACATACCCTGCATGTAGTATTACGCAAATTACAGTACTGTGCTTCTGGTTGGCACAATTTAGCCTGAAGGTGGCAGTAATGTGATACAGGGATAGGGGATTGGTGAGGTCAAGAGGAGACTTATAAACTTCAGAAGAACACATGCAAATAGGAAAGGAGAAAAAACTGCCTACTTTACTGTAAGAAATAAACACAAATTCCAAATACAAAAAGATGTCATTTCGGCATAATGAAAGGCGTGCGCTCCAAGCAGAGCAGATATGAATACTGAGAATTTGTGACAGTTCTTTTGTTTGATTTCATTCGATTGTGCAAGTGTGCCTTTGTGTGTTTATTGATCATCTAAATTAAAATTCAAACAGGTGAGCCCTTGTTGCAATGCAGGCAAACATCAGTGGTATTAGTCTGAGCCCCACTATTTTTGCCCTGGACTGGAAGATGGAGCATTTAGATTTCAATTATGGTTTTAATCAAGACCAGATTCAACAACACAGTTCATTCATCTTTTTCAGGTGAAGTGTCTTGGCTGATCTCTATTTTCTGCATTGTACTGTGCATCATCTCTGATTTATAGAACAGCGCTCGCAGGGGCAGCTGAGATTGTGTGCACTGCTAGATTAAAGCGAATGCAGCAAACTTCCAAGTGGGCTTTGGGTATTTTTCAAAGGCTGATGATATTCAAAGCTGGAGAAAATATGGAGTGGCCTTAGATGAAAACTTTTATGTGACGTTCGTTTGATGGCATATCCACAGGCTACCGAAGGCGGGGAGAAAAAGAAATCAACAGACTTTTAGAAGATGGTTACCTGAATGGACTTGGTCAGCCCTTAGATTGCAGCAGCAGCTCCAGTCACACAAAGCGCAATAATGAATGAATGTTCTTCACTCTGATCTTTTGGTCCTTTGTCTGATTACGTCAGCCCGAGACACTAAGTGGGATGCAGGTGGCCTTTTGCATTCAATCTCATGTCTCACTTTTATTGCCTGTGTGTTGGTGCCCGTTGTCATTGCTGGCTAACAGCTAGCACATTTAGGACGCCGTCACTGTATCATGACCGTGTTTGAAGGAGACGTGCAAATGTAGAGTCATCACCGCACCCATCGCGGTGGGTATGTTCCAGACCACCCCCGCAATAAGTGAACAAGCTTCACGTATCATCTGGAGACATAAATCAATAATCATGCCTCAAGATGTACATTATAAAATTAAGCTGTGACTTTCTTTATAGGCCAGGAGCGCTGGAAATCGAATGTTATCGTGCTTTTGCGCACTAAAAAGGTCAAACAGCCTTGTATTCGAAGAGTTACAAGCCGCCATAGCAATTTCTTCTGAGGTCAAACTTCAAAATAAAAGCGAATGAAGACATTGGTGTCCAAGTACAGTACAGTATTACTTATTTTGCTTTTATTTTGAAGTTGACCGTCGCGGAACATTGCATCATAGCCTAGGAACAACCGTTATTACGGCTGCCTTGACTAAGATGGCTTCCCGCTAAATGAGTTAACGTTACATTTGCCGTGACGGTCGAATGCGTACAGGAGCGCTTACTTTCCAGCAGGATTACAGCTAATACAGATAATTTTCAACAGAAACTAAATTGTGCTTAAAATTCTGTAGCATCAAATTTACACCATATGAAAGTAGTTTGCGTGATGTTTAGTGTAGTGGTCAGTTATGGACTTACACCCTAAATAGACGCCAGGTAGACCAACTATTAAAAAAAAAAATCTTCCGAATAGCGAATCATGAAACCTGAACGTGTGATGGGGAGGATTTCGGCCTCCTATAAATGAATACAATTACAATATCCTTTGTTGAAAAGCAGGCACCTCCAGATTTTGTGCTACTGCTAAAAATGACTAAATAAATAAATAGACAATACTGTAGTGGACTGCAACTACTTCTGTAATGATCACATGCAACTGGATTGTCACAGAGCTCCACCTTGACCAAATGTTAACAAAAGAAAGTCGAAATTAATATCCGGGGTGTTATTTGTGTGTGTTTGTTCATCACTTTGCAAGATGAGCGAAGACAGTCAATCCATCAAATCAATCAATCAAGACAGTGAGGAGGATTTATTGGTGTGTCACCTCATCGACTCCAGTTTGACGTATTGACCACTTCACACGTGCGCCATAATAACACCAAGCTCATTTAATCTTTCTTCCTGAGTGTTAAGAAATGTTCAAGCGCCTGCCCTCTCAATTTATTTCCTCAAAAAAAACGACATCCACATTTCAGTGCATTAACCACTGAACATGTTTTATAACATTTTTCTGAAACGTGACCATTCGTCATCAAGTTAACGTTGTGGAAATAGTATTCACAGTTGGCCCACATTGTATTCAAGCATTTCTCTCTCTGTCTCTCTTTTTTTCAACAAAATAGGTCAAATGGAAATAAGTTTGGAATGCTCAAAAAAAATAATAATCTTCCATTTTCAACATGTTGCCCGGTTGATTTTATTTGCCAAGTTTTTCAAATGGTGTCAAGTTCTTTGAAACCCCTGGTATTTTTAGCAAAATTCTTAACTGTGTGTAACAACATACTGTATTGCTGTTTGGTACCAACCATGAGGTTGACAAAAACACAATTGACTGTGTGTGCACAATATAGGCGATTGTATAGAGCAGCCACAATGATCTTTCGAGGATTTTCAAGAGGCTGGCAATGTCACTAATGTCTCCATGTTATTGACCTTATACTGTGCATGTCTCCTTGCCTAAATGGAATAAAGTCTTATGGAGTAGTTTCATTGTAAAAATGTTCAGTTGCTTCTCTACCTATTTTTCTTTTTGGATTTTTCGTGCTCGAGAAGCAACAGCAACAAGTTATCCATTTGCATAGCAGGTTGATGCAATAGTTTTTGAATGTTTAACAAATAGTGCAATGTTAGGGTACTGAAAAACAAAGTTTTACTTGTGTCAAAAGTGATATTCTCTGTTAAACTTATGAAACACAACACCTCACACAGTCGAAATGCAACATATGGTGACAATAAGGAGCCAGGACCCACACTCTGCAAACGCTGATTGAGGAGGACATGTTGCATGCGCAATCCTGTACACACCTTTTCATTTATTTATTTATTTTACACACCAACAAAAATATAAAAAACACGATCTGCAACACCATCTGGACACTTAAATAAAACACCCACATTCTTTGCTGGCTACTTTGCAGTGTACACCTAACGACAAACGCTTTACCTTAATTTACAGATGAGTTTCTTTTTTTTTTTTTTTTTGCCAAGGGGTGATGTTGCTGTGACAAAAACAATACTTCTATGGATAGACAGATGAACAGATTAACAAACAGATATACATTCTGTGATTCCCAACCACTGCGTTGTGAGAGATTATCAGGTGTACCATGAGAAATGATCTCTTTTAATTTTTCCAAAAATGAACATAGGCCTACCAAATATAAGGTAGATATCAACAGGATGGCACAGTGGACGACTGGTTAGCATATCGGCCTAACAGTATAGAGGCTGTGGGTGAATTGGACAAGATCATTACTTCAACACACGTTTTTTGTGTCATTTTGTTTAATTGTTTGGCATGCAATTTTTCGGAGGTAGGTTGGTAGAAACAGCTTTTACCGTTAACGTGCTTCAGTTCCTTTTGGTCCCCGTTTAGTGTGGTACAAACCATGTTATCAAACCCCAGAGTGACAACTTCTAAATAGACTGTCTGACGACCAGTTTGAAGACATCTATAATGCTGAAAGCACACGCTGTTCAGTTATTTCCGTTTTTTCATGGCCCTCTGAATAGGGATCGTCACTCAGCAGCGAAGGATCACTTGCTATGTACCCTTTGATCATTCATTGAAGCACACAGCAGTTAACAATGTAAAAGTAAGTTTGAATACAACAATAATGTACCTATCTTCATGCAGCACACTGTAAATAATAGACATTAATTCATGAACTTAATACCTTTATCTTAACAATAACGTTATCAACCATGATTTTATCACAACCCATTTATTTTAGCATGAGGTATTATCATTGTCATCATTATTACCCGTAATGTTTTATATGTAGTCAAATTTATTTATAATGTCATCAAGCTTCACCGTCGAAACATAATGAGAAACCATACAAGTGGAACCTAACAAAAGGACTACAAATCCCAGCGGTCAAACCCGGAAGAAAAGCGCCGGTACCATTCCCTCTCGCCGTAACGCAAAATCATCATTCAAACTTTCCAGTTCAGCAGGACAAACATGACATGGCAACACTCCCCCAAAATAGAGCCTAGCATAGACACCACTGCAATTACAAGGCTTAACGTTATAACTTTTACTGGCGTTCTTTAAACTGCTGATTGCGAACAGCAAGTAACACAAATGACACAAAGCAAGCAAGCATGACCGAATCCCCAAAATAATTCCACAGATCCGACAAAGGAAAGCGGACATAGCTTACCATTGGGGTTATGCTGACGACGAAGTGAGTGATTTCCGACTGAAACAAAGTGCGATGCGTTTTTTTAAAAAACGTCAATTGAATGGTCACCTGTCACTGGCAGCCCCGCCCCATTTTAAAGTCCCAGGTAAATCCAACACCTCCCATTTAAGTTCCCGATGTCCCATTTAGAGAATTTACACCAACACACAATCAAAAGGCCCCACTTAGTGACACCAGTACATAAGCATGACAACAAAGTTGTTGTTTTTGTTGGGGGGGGGGGGGTCCCAGAGACAATAATGGCCTTCTGGCGGTTGATGTGAACCAGGGTCAGTGAGTTTACGGGGTTTGGAAGCTCATCTTTGAATATGTACTGTGTGCATTGTATGGGCATGGTGGCAGCGATCCCGCCTGCACCAACCAGCCAAATAGCGTAAAGGGGTTTTGGGCGTTGGTTTGGCCGAGAGGGGGCAGTGACTGGATATTTGAAGTGGGAGCTGCATTCAGGGTCATGGAGTTGCAGCTGGAGTCGAATCCCCTGCTGGGACCAGCACAACTAGCCGCCTTACATCCCTTTGCAGGATGATGGTTGAGTTTTTGGTGAGGCCCCAGCAGAACATGTGACTGTTGAAGCAGCCCAACCAAGTTCTTAGATGTTTGAGTCTCACCCATAAGCAGTCCTCAGCCAGGTGGGGTGTACCGTGAACTGATATGGCCTTGCATTTATTTTTCCCAGTTTCTACTCCAGGCTTCCACGATGGTGAAGTTCAAATCATAGATGTCTGAACATAATCAGAACTGTGAGACTGCCTGACCACGAGGGCACAGTGTCACTGTTTTTTTTAAAATTCAATTGTCTTAATTTGAGTTAAAAGTCTTTTTTTTCTGTATACACGTTAAATACGTTTTGCCCAATTGGCCCCTGGCTCACCTGCAACTTTTCCATGTGTGAGAGTCACACACATAGTGTAAATGAGTCATCTATATTCCAGAGCACCAACTACACACCCGTAATAATGTCCTTGTACTTAATGAAAACTAATTCAATACATCGAGACATCTCGTACTGGAACGTGTTACCTCCACAAAATGATGCCAATGAGCAATCCTGTTCCCTTTAAAACAAACATAATAAAATCAGTGGTGAAATTTGTTGTTAGTGAATTGGACATAATCTGTCTGTGCTTTGTATATGTAGCAACTGTCATTATTAATTTAATAATTATCAGTAGTGCAGTCAGGCATTTGAGGAAAATGATACTTGAGTGACCTCTGTTGGCCAAGTTACGCTTTGCAGCTGTTGTTCTGAAAACGAAACACTTCAATGTTTCCACTGGATGAGGGCACAGGCAATTTATTTTTCTATGTATCCAAAATAGGTTCATTATGAACGGCCACGGGCGTTCATTGCGTCACTACGATGTAATAACTGATTGAGTGTATTCGCGGACAAAAAGCGTTTTTAATACTGGGTGTAGCTATATTTAGCATTTCATTCATTGCCTCTGTATGCTAAATTCATGTCGTTTTTTTGTTTATTTTATTAACGACTAAAATAAATAGTTTTTTGGCCACGTTGTGTATTCACTCCCCAAAAGTCCATGCAGAAACGTTGTGAATTGCCTTTTTTTTTGTTCCAGCCGGATGAAGCCCCCTCTCCCCCCCAAACACAAAACAATTCGTAGTCGTTACAAATTCAAATAGTTTTGCCCCATTTTTTTTCGAGAAGGCGGTGTTCTTTTCAGGGCGTCATGAATAAACAAAACCTTTACGTCATATTAAAACACAAACAAACCGAGAGTAATAACAGAAAAGTTAATTAACTAAATTTATAACTCTTAAATAATAAGGAAATCAGAAATGGCTCAAAGAATAAAATCAAAATTATATTAAATGCTCAACTGGCACCATTTTAATGTCATTGCCCTTTAAATAATGTGACGTAGCGTGACGCAGTCGTCTCCAGCCACAATCTCCTTGTGCTGTGTGCATCCAGCAAACCGGTGCACCTCTTGCCCCCTCCCCTCTCCCACTTTGGACCACAACTCCTCCTCCTCCTCCTCCTCCTGAGCTAACATCCCTTCTGCATCCTGCAGAACTCTCGGACACGGGAAAACATCCCGCAAAAATGGAGCCCCTGGAGCCTAGGGAGGACTAACTAAACGTACGCAGAAAGGGGGTGGGCAGCTGGTAAGAAGCCCCGATGCATTTTTTTAAAAACATTTTCACATTTAAAGCACCAGCGGATGCAGTATAAATGGATGTGTCTGCGTGCGTGTGTGTGTGCATCAAGGACACGATTTAAGTGTACACATCGAGCTGTATGTTTTATTTTGGAAGCCCCTAAGGGCACTGGGGCTTTGTCAGTTTATTTTGAAAGTGAGATGCTTACTCACTGTCATGAATGTTAAAGCTCAACCTCAACACCATTATACAAATACTGTATAGCGGTTGGCGTGGAGGCTTGGCGGCTGTGCTGCGCCCGCGCATGCACGGCGCACACCGAACGTCGTCCATGTTAGCAGGCCCTCAGGTCGTGACAGTTCTCCTGGCGCAGCAGTTTGACCTTGCAGTATTTCTGCCACCAGGGACACAACATCTGACGGCTGACACCAGTTGTTTTTAAAACATTAAGAATGAGTACAAATTGTGATATGAATGGACGAGATGATTTTACCGAGGCAAAATAACAAAAACAGAGCAAAAACATTGCTGCTGATTACATCCAAACATATCATAGCAATACCCAGATGGCAAGGAAATTACGCCCCCGAGTGGCTGTGAGCAGCATAGACATGCGGTGGAAGGCAGCTTGTTTCTTTTTCCGTCTCTGAGCTAGACTCTCCAGACACATTAATAAAGTTTCCCATCGAAAATGTTCTTATTTGGCGACGTCTTCATTGGCAATTAATATTGCAATTGACTCAGACACGTGGTCACCCCACAATGTTGTAGGCGGCAATGTTTATGTTCCAGGGAGGTATATGGCTCATGAGTTCCGCCCAGTTCCTGCCAATGCACTTGACCTCTTCACAACAGTAATATTGTTCAAATGTCATATTACTCATATTAAAAAAATAACTTGCACCCTTCTTATGCCCGTGATATATCCAGGTCCATCTCAATAAATTGGAATATCGTGGCAAGCTTGTCTTATTTCAGTACTGCATTTTAATACACAAAGTACATTTAATATCCTCACATCTCCAAAACCATACCCCCCCCCGCCCCCCCACAAAATGTAATCATTAATGCATTTTGGGGTGTTATTAAACATTTTATGGTAAAAGTTGTCTGGCTATTTTCAACGTTTTAGTTGTTAAAAATAACAGAGCCATGTAGGGACTGCCACTAGTGACAATAGTTGTGGAAAACATACAAAATTCACCAACTTTTGAATACAGCATTGATGCATAATCCAGATTCACTACACAGAGAGGGAAATATTTCTTGACTTTATGCTTTAGAATATTGAGGCATATAACTTCCACTTAACGAAAACCCAATGCACCAAAGTTATTCCACAATATTCCAATTGATTAATATTCATGTGTTCCATCGAAATTCCCAAATATCGTGCAAAATACTCGACAAAAAAAAAAAACTAATCGATGGAGGCAAGTGAAGCGATAACCATTAAATGTGTCCTCCAAACAAGTGAAGCAGGCGAAATACCCTTCCGTCTATTTCAAAGGGGGACTCCCTCCTCAGAAGTTGTGTCATTCTACGATTTATCTCGGAAAGATGAATAGCCTCTTGCTGAATGATGATAGATGAAGGGAAAAGCATCCACGTGCAGTGTTCGCCCACGGGATGTTTACGGGATTGAGGAGATTGATTTCCTGTCTGTTTTTTGCCTGTTTAGTCCACACATCCCTGTAATGTGATCACGTCGCCTGCACCGTGTAGCCTACAGCCTGTCGCTGACCTCATTAATCGCTATACGGTATGTCTGAGTGACCTTGTTAGTAAGACATGCGAGTCATGTTACATAAGTGGTTGTGACTGGCAGTGTTGTGTACTTGTAAAACAGCAAGCTCAGGATTCATAGGCAAAATATTGTGCTTTTTTTTTTTCTCGCCCTTTAACAGTTCCCATGTGTCTTCATAAAAGGACAATGTCATTAATTGCTCATAATACACAAAGAATTAACGTACACTTGTAAAACTCTGGTTGAAGCCTCTCGTGTTTTTTGGGCGGGGCAGGGTGCGCCCGTTTCATGCAAATGAGCCACTATACACCCAGCCACCCTGTCCTGCCAATGCAGAGTAATTTTTATTTTTTGTAAACACCGTAACCAGGGACGGAACGGACCTTGGGTGTTTCAAGTAGGCTCAGGCCCCCACATGAATTTTTTTTTTTAGGTAATTACAATAGGGACCTGGACGTGTTGCAGATGCATTGGCCACATACCCTTCTATATGACGCTTTCATCATTTTAGCCAAACGAAACATTTTTGAAAAGCTAATAAGAGAACCTATTGTAAAAACGAAGGGTGAAACTGACAGTGCAGTCTGTGCGGAGAATGACTCATCATCGTTTCCGTCTGATGAGAGAAAAGTGCTGCATTCAGCCTATTCTATTAAAGTGGTAACCTTGAATTTCAGAACAATATTTGCCTTTGCTGTTAATGATATTTGGGGAAAAAACTACTCAGAGTCTAAAGAGTGCCCATCACTGTGTGTATGTGTGTGTGTGTTTGGGGAGGTGGGTGGGGGGATGAATGGTTCAAAATTCAGACATTTGACTCACTCAGCGGGCACCACTTTTAACCATGCGCACCAATGCTTAGTCTTGGGACTTTTCTTTCACGTCTTCTCCTTTTCAACCAGGCTCTCGTCACCCGGCTGGATACCAGGACGGTGAGAACCGAAGAAGCTTGACTGGAATACTGCCTGGCCTCATGTCTGCCCCTGCTCCAGCCAGTCGGAGATCTGCATCGGGCTCTCGCCGGTAGGTCGTCAGCAGACTTGATGTCACCAATGCAGCTCTAAATGAGCTTGCTCACATTAGATGCAATTAATTCAAGGCATGGGAGTTTTACAAGTTAATTGTGTTGTACCTGGGTACCTCGGGGGGGTACAATGAATTGCTAGTCGTAGCTGAGTTCGTTGAGTTTTCCCATGATATCTTAGCGTGATGCTAATAGACCTTTGATAGCCTATTGATAATCTTGCACCCTCAGGAATATGCGGAGAAAAAGGAGAGCAATTCGTCATGCCGTGGCTTGAAAGTTGATTTTCTGTAGGCGTTGAAAACCATCCTAAAATGACCCGTCATGAAGCAAATTAATGTGATAATTAAGAAAGAATTCTTTTAGGAGATGATTTTTAAAACTAACACACTGAAACATGGTGGTTATAATATAATTAACATCAATGTTCTCTTTGCCCCTCTTGGGCAGATTTATTTCACCAAACTATGTGTTTGAAGCAGAACAAGTGTTAATTATTCACTTGATCTGGATATTGTAAACGTACTTCATCCATTAATAGCAGTAATTCAGCCACACAAACAGTTCATTCATAACCAAGCGACAATGACGTGAGGGCCTGTTTAGTCGACGTCTCCATGAATAGAGGACATTGAACAGCCTGGCCTCAAAATATTTCTACCTCCTCCCGCATCACTCCTCTATAGAGACGAGATGATAAAAAGATGAGCCCCTATACGCGGGATCATATTTACTTCCATAAACACTGCCAAATGGCATTGTCTATGGTCTAACTCATTCAATGTCGTGCCCTTGTGCATGTGAGGTTGCACATTGGAAGTTGCATTTGTTTTTTTCCATGTGAACAAGCGTATAAAAAGATCTTATTGAACAAAAATAACCTAATTGGTCATCATGCCCTGCAGCATGAACGTAGCCTTGATCCTGTCTATCTGATCGCGACCGGGGGGAGGGGGGGAGAGTCCCAATGCCCATTTATTACAAATAAACAGCTTGAAGCAAGAACTCTGGTTGTCATTTGTCGAACAGTTTATCTGCCAAACGAAACACTGCAAATTCATAGAGGAAGGAATACATACAAATAGGAGAGAACAGGAAAAAACGGCAATGTTACGAATACAGTTCTGGCAGTCTAAACGTGACTTTAATGCATCGTTCAACTATTCATGAATCTTACAAGAAGAAGCAATGTTTAATTTGACATGTTTCATTAGCGGGTCAGCCACAAGACTGACTCAGCTCTCTGTCTGTCTTTCTTTGATTGAGTCAGCGGTTGGTCCAACTTGATTTGTCTCTGCCCAGTCTCATCGTGTCAGCTGAGGCTTTGAAAATGTGATGACAAGTGTGAAATCTGTCTGGTGGTCAGACACCTCCCACCTGCTCATCACTAAACAGCAAGTTTGTTTTATAATCCTGTTTTTCCTACAGGTATTCGTCAAATTTGATCGATTGACTTTAATAAAGTGCAAATATTAAGAAAAAAAACTTAAATAAAAATAAAACAATTTTACATGTATCAAATGTTCATTTATTTACTAATTGATTGCAATTAATTAGTTAAATACCACTTAGAATGCAAATCAATTATTTCATTAAAATGTAATTTAATTCAAATTGAATTGACCTAATTTCATGTATAACCTGGTATGACAATGTGTGTCAAGTCGAGTCACATTTATTTATATAGCCCTTAATCACAAACAGTCTCAAAGGGCTTCACATGCCCACAGTTGACAAATATTCATGATATCCCCTGACCTTAACCCCCAGGAGGACACGGAAAAACGAAAAAAAAAAAACAAAAAGACATCTGGGGAAAAATGAGAAACATGAGACAGAGCCGCAGAGGGGAGAATCCCCCTTTCTATGATGGCCAGGCTGCAATGGATGCGGAGTGGCCAAACATTTGGAAGCGGATACTGCAGCAGCTGTTTGGTTGCGCATTTCAAACCTGACTCCCTCTCTCTATTCGCTGTCGCACATTTGTCTACATGGCATGTGGATCGAGGAGCTATGTGTAGAGCACCCGTGACAACAATACAGGACTCGCTGTGGTGTTGCCATGGCAACAAGCATCTACAGATGGCTCAGCAAATGTGGCTTTGGTGTCCTCCTCTTTTTCGTCTCCTCTCTCTCAGATTCAACCCTCTGAAGGCGCTGCAACCCAAACGTCGCTTGCAGCAAATACTGGCCTCCTCACCCGTCCCGGTCCCCAGGCCGGAGTCCGGGTCGGGGTCGGCCGCACGGGTTGCTACGGCGCCGGTAGCCATTCCGGTGCCGGCGCCCCCTGCGTGAGAAACATCTCAGTTACCCTCTTAGAGAGCATGCGCCATAGCTGCTGCAGCTGTGGCATGTGTTGTAACCGCTCAAACAATAACAGCAACAAAAACAACACGTGCTACCACGCTAATTGTGCTGCCACGCTGATCTAGGATCAGGGTTTCCCCGCCCCCGCCTCCTTCCCCCTCAGACTATACTGATTGGATGCAGATTCTTTTCTACAATTCTGAATCATTAGTATCCAATGTGCAAAAACTCAAATGGATATACAGTCACAACAAATTGGGACGCTCATCCTCCCAAGTGCTGTGCTGCAAGAACTACGATGAGGGAAACCTTGAGCCTTTCACTGTTGATCTGCACGAGGTAGATCTGCACTTTAATGCTCAAAGCATATCGATCATGCTTGTGTTGAGCGGCCTTGTGCACAGCTCTCTTGTGCCGTGAAGACAAAACTGTGATCACTCGTGCGCAGTGGCGATTTTGGCAGAAAATGTTACTAAGCAGAATACTGAAGCTCATTAAAAATGCTCTGAATCGAAGCGAGAGGACAGAGAGATGAGGCGGGAACATAGATTCTATTTATTTTCATTTCAAGAAACGCCACTGCTAGTGATCACCGGTTCAACAAAGTTGCCCAGTCAACTCTGCTCACAGTCGGTGACACACCAAATGACCCGTAAAGTGTCTCTTTGCATGATAGCGTTGGGATTGGCATTATTTTTTTCCATTTTCTTTTTTTTTTTTTTTCTAACTCTGTGTCTTGCAAAGCACGTTGGAATAGGGGTTAGCACGACTGCCTCTCATTTTTGAGATTTGGGTTCTAATCTTAGCTCCAGGCGCCTCGTAGGATGTTAGCCTGTTCTCCCTGTGCTTTCGTGGGCTTTCATGAGGTTATTCCGACATGTGAAAAACATGCAGGTCAGGTTAATTGACAACTCTGAAATGTCGATAGGTTTGAACGTCAGCGTGAATGATTGTCTAATATTTGCTCTGTGATTGGCTGACGACCAGTCCAGGGTGTACCCTACCTCACATTTTCAACCCTTGTGGCCCTCGGCTCGCTTTGCTCGTGGAATGACTTCACCTTAAAGCGGAAGTGTCAGCAGTCACAACAACTAGTTAAGTACTCAACATTACAAAGGACATGTTGACGTAGCGTTTTCAGCATTCTCAACTGATCTCGAATCCATTGATGCATTTCGGGTTCTTTTTGTTTTTTACTTGTCTAAACTTGTTTGACTTTTAAAAAGTAAATAAAAGGGTCAACAAAATTGGGCTAAGAATGTGAAGCCCAGTTATTATCAGTGGGGCTAGTACGTTTAGCCAGTTGAGCGAAGGAGGTTTGCTATGTGCTCCTGGTCGCAATGTTTACTGAGATTATATGCCCACAATTATTCATACTCTTTCTCGATACAGGCATGGCCGATGTCTTAAAAGCATTAAAATGATACCGATATGGAAAGACATGATCAGGATCCTCTGTAATAACCTTCTACATGCTCCTGGTCACACCTATGGTGAATTATTAAACGTGGCTACATTGGAATTTCCTCGAATATCAATTGTGTGAAGTCAAATGTAAAGGCAATGAGCAGGTCATGAAAAATTAATACCTAAAAATGCTGTGAAGTAATACGATAGGGAAAAAGAAGATAATGCGTTGTACCGTACACTAATGATGCATCTATAAGTTTGCTAGCCAGGATATAGCGATATTGATAGCAGTGGTTCTTAACCTTGTTGGAAGTACTGAAACCCTCAAGTTTCATATTTGCATTAGTAGTTGGAAAAATAATTATTTTTTTCTCCAAAATAAAAATGGCTATGTATGTTATCGGTGCACAAAACGAGCCATGCGTTGGTAGCGGACAAAATCACAGTTGAAATAACAACAAATAATACGTTGGTGTCCTACATTGTCATTGCTTAGGTAGTTCTGTTGTGTTATCGGCCACTCCGCACATGATGTCGGCAATTTTCTGGTCCACTGACATGCCCTATTCTTTTCTTTTGGCCACTCAAACATGTGTTTGCCTGTATGTTAACAGTGCATCGCCACACAGCACCGAGACATTTTGCCGAATAACTCGCTAACAATGGCAAAGAGCAGTTAACGGGACAATCAGCAGGGCATTACAATGGCTGACTGGCGACTCGGCATTCTGTAAATGACGTCACTCGCCGGAGATTGCCAAACAAAAGCCTTTTCGTTGTTGCGGTAGTTGCCGGAGCCTATTCCAGCTGACTTCAGGCGGAAGGCAGAGTGCACCCTGAACTGGTCGCCAGTCAGTCGCAGGGCACATTCAGAGACAAAAAAGTATGTGTGTGGATGTCGGATGTTTTTGACAACATTAACCCGATAAAACAGTTTCTCCAAAACACAGGCTATGAAAGAAACCATTAGAGTCCAATGCAATTTGGGATAAAGGTATATATTATGTTGATTGTCAGTGTAAACCGTGAAGAGTCTACTTAAAGTGGTTACAACTGGGACATCCAGATTCCACAGACAGCTTGCCGACCACATTGCAAACCTTTAACAGCACTGCTTTGTTATGCCTGCAAACACGTTTTCACAAGATTTATTTTCTTGAGATTTTAGACTGTGGTTCTGTCGTGAGGTCAATAAAACCATTTTTGTGGACACAACCCAAATGAATCGTTGTGTTCTAGACACGGTCCAGTTTCATGTGTGACCTAACACCTTGTTATCTCTGCCTGGTGTGTCAGGTTTGACTATTGCAGGTTCATAGAGCTAGACTACGTTCCTATGGAGACAGGTTACATGGTGTCAATGCGCCCGACTAAAGGCTATGCATCCACTGCAAAAGGACACGCTTCCACCAAGTCCCCGGACCGCCTTAGCCATCCATCAAACTCCCCCTCTACCCCTCGCTCCCGGTCTGTCCAGATCCCCTTTCTCTGTGGTCCACACTCTGCAGCATGGGAATGATGTGACACGTCGTACTGTGTGAATGATTCATTGTGGAACGCGTTATCACACCCTTGTATCCGGTCTGATGTGTTTTTTCACCTTCATTTGCAACCCCCATTGATTGAGTTTCCAAACTACAGTGGACCCTCGGAAACAGGAATGCGTCTGCGATCTAGTCTCTCAGAAATTTCAGGGATAAAATGGTTCAAAAGGTTTTATTCTGAAAAAAGATTACAAGTCAAAGCGTAATAAATGATCCATAGCCATGACAGAACTAAAAAAGTTCACTTTGTGAAGCTACTTTTCGGGTTGTACAAGTTCAACTCCCACAACTAATTAATTACTGTCTATTTCTATTCTAATGGGAAAATACCCAACAGCTTTGTCTTTGAAAACCGAGTGTCCAGTGTATTCCACCGAGTGAGATTTTTGTTTTGAGCCCATTTCAATACGCATTGATTGACTTTTTCACGACACCAACTCATCCTTATTTCTACTACGCACAAATGCAATTTTGTTGCCGTACTGAGCTTATAAATGAGTTTCTGTGTACCTGGCACTGTTAGTTGTCTTTTTTTTTTTTTTTTTGGTCTTATTTTTCATTTATTTGTCAACAGCTCACAGTTGACCTTCACCGGTTTGTCCGGAGGGTGTTTTTACCAGGCGGTAACAACATTTCTCCTCTTCTTTTTGGAAGCAGGCGGTCACCTGCAGGCCCCAGTAACAGGGATCCTTATGGCAATGCCTCCCTCAGTAGCAGCAGCAACTCCGGCTCTTGTAAAGGCAGCGACTGTAGCCCAACCAAAGGGTGAGAAGATATTTTCATATACGGACTACATTGTCACATTATAAACCAAGTGTCCAACCAAGGGACTGTTTCTTACAGCTTGTTGAGAAACTATATACCACGATTCCGCAGTCGGTGATATCTTTCGGAAGTGGGCCTTCAATGGGGAATTGAGAGTTACATCAACTCCAAATAAGTCCAAACCTCGATGCATCTGTACATTATAGCAGTTCACAATCATTATTTATTAATAACGAGACTAAAACCTAAAACCTTGAATAACATCGTCACTGTAGATGCTCATTACTTATGATCAACCATCCACATCAACCATCCGACTCCAGTACTTGCTAATTCTGAAGCCCCTGGGTGGATTTCATTTACATGGCAACACAGAAGCTGAAATCTGACCCCCAAATGACTGCAAGCTACATAGCAATGACACATGCATGAAATAAAGACAAAAGATTGTTGGATAGAAATTAATACAAATCCAAGTAATTTGTAAATGTAGGTCAATGCTTTTGATAGTGTATGGGCCAGCAGAGAAGGCCCTGACTGCACAGCACTGCCCCCATTGCAACTAATGGGGGTGGCCAGAGACCTAAAATTCTGGGCATCCCTTGCTTAGACCGCTGCCACCATAACCAGGATATAGAAAAAAAATATTTCTTTCTGAGAACACTTGGCACAAACCAATCCGATCAGACTTTAAGTCAGTAGCAAGTCAGTAGTAAGTTTGTTTCCGATCATTTTCTGTCCCACAGACGTCACCAGAAGTACATATCATGTACAGACAACCACGGTATTCGGCCCCCACCACCAGAACAGTACCTCACACCTCTGCAGCAGAAAGAGGTGTGCATCCGTCACCTGCGGGCCAGGCTAAAAGAAACCATCAACACACTGCAAGACAGGTTAGCGGTTAGAATCTTCCCCAGGTTCTTCCTTTCTACATTTACACTATATTCATTCTATTTCTTTATTTCTGTGGTGACATTTTTCCATTTTACCCCCATAGGGACACAGAGATTGATGAATTGAGAGAGAAGCTTTACAAAATGCAAGAGGACTGGGTGGAGGAGGAGTGCCACCGCGTGGAGGCTCAGCTGGCCCTTAAGGAAGCACGACTGGAGATCCAGCAACTTAAACAGGCCGTGGACACGGTCCGCGACAGGTTGAGTGACGCCGGGGGATTCAGCGGGGACATCGGGGTCCAAAAGTACTTTCAGGACATCAACACTCAAAACCACAAGCTTGAGAGCCTGTTGCTCAACATGGAATTAGCTCAGGTGGGACTAGCCAAGGAGGGGGAAGCCATAGCAGGCCGTCGGACCCGAGTTGGGGGTTCGGCGCCAGCGTCCGTATCCGGGGAAAGTCCAGGAGGAATACCAAAACCAGCAATAGGAGGAAAGGGTTCTTGTTCTTGTGATGGTTCGCCAGCCCGTTCTCTGACCCGTAGCTCCACCTACACCAAACTGAGCGATCAAGCAGCAAACCGAAATGGCAATGGCGTGGATTTTCCTTGTCTTTCAGCTGATGGCACTCAGGACAGTGGCTTTGTTTGCTGCGGGGAGAGCAGCAGCGTCCCGAGTCGGGCCGACTTGCTCCTCGAGGCCGCCTTCCTCTCAGAGGAAACAGCTTCATTGCTCAACTCCTACGCGCAAACCTTTTCACGTTCCACACCCAACTCTTTACCTCACGCTTACTCCCAAACCTTACCTCATTCTTTCCCTCACAACCCATCACACTCGGTGCCCCACACGATGCCGCATTCAGCCACCTACGAGAAGCTGTGCTCGGGTGAACGCATGTCAACAGTTCGTTGCGGCTTAGGAGGAGGCGGCTGTTTGAGCCACCCCTGCTTATCACACCATCACCTCTACCTACATCCCCTACGCGAGACGGGCATTCAGACCGAGAGCTGTCCCATCCCGGCAACATCAGGTTGCCCATCAGACTTGGATACAATTGCCGAACAACGTACCTTCAGATCCCAGGCCTGCAGCCCAACTTCAACGTGGATGTCTGACGAAGGAGAAGACGATATCGACTCCATCACCACGACCACTTCTGTCACCAGATCAACTGTCATGAGCACAGCCACGGAGCCGATTCCGTTCTCCAAATTGCCACAGGTGAATTCCATTCCGCGTTCTGCCACTGTGGCCTGTTCCATGGAAAGCCCTTTGTGTGAAAGGAAGAAGGTCACGAAGGAAGATACCGAGGAAGAACCTGCTGCAATGGACAATCAGGGAGAAATGTCAGTAGGCCAACCAATAGAAGTACAGCCGGAGATGGAGCCAGCAAAACTAGTGAGAAATCAGGAAGACTCAAAGGGGGTAGCACTTCGCACTTCAGAAGACAGAAACAAAGGCCTATGGATTGTAGAGGACAGACCATTTGGGAAAACGCTGAAAACAGCCATCAGTAACGACATCCAGCAAGCAGACGGCCTAATTCCGATAGAAACACCAGGACTGAGCCCATGTAGCCCCGAATCCCCACAAGGTGTGGAGCAACCCCACACCTCCCAGCCAAAACGATTTATTTCCCACGAGGAGGTAGATCGTGTCATCGTTGTAGGGGTGCATGACACGGAGGATGAGAAAAAACCAGAAACAGAAGAGCAAGGCGACAAAGGCAGTGGCGCAGCAGCGGAGGAAGCGGATTCCACTTCCGATTCTGGGCCGGTACAGAAAAGCTACTGGAGTCGTCACTTCCTCGTGGATCTGCTGGCAGTGGCGATCCCCGTGGTGCCGACAGTGGCGTGGCTGTGCCGGGGTCCGGTTCGAGACGGGCAGCCCATGTACCACTTTGGATCACTGCTGAGGGGCTGCTGCACCGTGGCTCTGCACTCACTGCGCAGGGGAGGGGGGTTGAGGCATTACCCCGCGGGCGGGGGGGACCTTGGTGGATCTCAGATGTGAACAAAGGTTCTCCTAAAATCTCTCTCTTAGGATGTTTGGCCAACACTAGATGGGTTTTAATTGGAGAAAATCTGGTGATATATCATCGGCATCCTGTCCTGAAGGATAACTTCAGAAAGAAAAAAAGATCCAGGTTTGTGTGCATTAAAGATGAGGTGAAGTGACTGGATTGACCAAACCGCTGGTCCAAGGCTACGGGCTGAATGTGCTGATTGAACTGAATAATCATTACTTGGATGTGCAATGCTGATTGTTTCGTTTTCAAATGCAGGGAAAACTTTCAAGGTTTGTTCTTTGGTCAACATCGCCGACTCACTGTTGGCTGGAACTATAGCACTTTGTTGGATATGTACTCATTAGTGTATGTTGTATGTTGTGAACCAAATTGTCTCTGGTGGACAAACTGAAATCCATTCGTTGGGTCAATTCAAAAGGCATGTCTCCCTTGTCCTTAAAGTCCTGAAATATTCCGTATTCATTATCAGGTATCATGCGCTCTGCTCTTTCCACATTAAATGGCAGACATATATTATCCTAAACAAGGTCGCAAAACCAAAACACTATGAAGCCATTGCAAATGCTATATTGAAGCCACATTTTCACCAAGCCGTCTAGTTCAGTCCATTTCACCTCATGGTGGTACCATTAGGAAGAGTAAATCCAGAAGTGTCTTGTGTTTCCAGTGATGACTGAAAATGCTTTTCAGTCTTCTTCCCAACATTCTTGTTGTCTTGCTAAAGGGCACCCGGGAAGGAATTTTTCCAGGTGACCAATTTTCAATATTTCCAGTGGGTCGGTCAGAGTCAGGTTGACCGCGGATTCTGAAACGATAATGTGCCGTATATTACTATATTTGGGGCTGAGGAGGGAGTTGTAGGTATTCTTTATAACTGTTAGCAACAACAATAAAAAAAAAAAATCTTCCTTGAACTGACCTTAACTCTACTTCTTGGTAGAAAATAGGCCTTCAGTGTGCCATCTTTTGTGGCTTTTGGACATCTGCGTACATTTTCTGCACCTCTGCTTGTCCTCATGCTGTTAATTCTAAACTAACAACCTATACTAACAACATTATGACTGTTCTAGAAAGTCCCTTCTCTAAGAGAGACAAATACAACATGCTTTATGATAGCTCACGCACCTCTAAATTGGAATTCTAAACATGCTATCTCCTCCAATAGTGGCTGTTTGGGTTTATTTGAAGCACTGTAACCAGTACTGGGCATTTATTTTTTTAAGCTAGGCATTCATTTGGATGTAGGCCTTTATTTATCACTTGATTGGTCAGCGGAGGATTGTTACCTCAGTTTTACCTGGGAATGGAATGTAAACTGGCTCACGTTGTTGCGTGTCTTTTATTCTTGGTTCCTATCAACAATACAGGGCAGGTTCCTTGCTCACATTTCACTGCACAGCTAACTAGCTAGCATTAGCACCGAAAAGAAAGAGTCACGCCTGGCAGTAAATTGACAGCGTCAACGAGAGTGGAGGCCATTACTTGAGGTTAAATGGTTAATAAATAGTATGGTCAGGTCCAGTGTCTATTTCAGTACACAGTTGGCCCTCAGTTTATGAACACTGGCACATTGAAGTAGCTTGTGCAGCGATGTAAGCATACGTTGTCATGTGGGACAAGAACACAGGCCTGGTTATGGCCGTACAGGCTGTTTTTCTTTCAGTTGCTTGTGTTTATTGTTTGGAAGCTTCTTTCATATAAATATTTGGTCAATAGGAATGGCACGCCACTTGGAAACTGAGGACCCCAGCCCCCCCTCGTATGTGTCTTTCTTTGCTGCTGTTACTGCTGATGGTTAGCACCCTCAAACTTCAAGTATCCAGTTTTCTACATGTCCAGAAAACATAAGAATACATTTGTGTCTTTGGCTAAAAGTTCAGTGTCACTAAATTAAGCCTTCCAACCCAAATGCTTTCATCTGTGCATCCATTTTCGATAGCGCCTCTGCGCATGAGAGTCACGGGTAAGCTGGAGTCTATCCAAGCTGACTGCGCGATTGGACGGGGAACATCCTGAAGCGGTTGCCGATTAGTCACAGTGCCCAAATGCTTTCATTCCAAACCAAATTTGCACTTTCGCTCTTCAAGCCTTTCACTCTACAACAAGCTGAGTGGAGATCATAGCTAGCTGGAAGATCATTCACCGGCTCAATTTGTCTCCTATGAAACACTGCTGTACAGTTTTTAACTCCTTTTGTCTTGTTCAATTGTCACTCTGGACCATATATCCCCTCTAGTCAGTCATTCAAGGGCAATTTTTTTCTGCTATGCATATTACTAACCATAGAATAAAAGTAAACAATGCACTTCTATACGGCGTACCCTCAGAGGTGGAACACATTCCATTTGTTCACATTTGAAACTGTCTGTGCAAAATGAAGTTTCACCACTCGTGTGAAGAGTAAAGCTTACAATAAATACTAAAACAATCAAATGTGGATGTAACAAACCTTACCTGAGTTCATTTATTACCGCAAACGTCATCATTACCATTTTCACTCTTGACTTAGCAGTCCTGATGCCCTTCTCAAAGTTTAAACAGTACACACAAAAATGGCTTGCAAAATACATACTAGGAGATGAGTTCGTCCAATTGCATCTGTCTTGGCATTTTAAAGTCAAATTCCGAGTTGTTGAACCACCAAACCGTTTGCATTCTGAAGGTTGCTGAAGCAGAACTTCGAAAAGGAGGTTAGAAGGTTTTACGTGTGATTTGTTTTGCTTTTGTGAATGTGTTTATTTGTGACGATGTAAATATGTAAAAAGGGAAAGGGAGAAAAACTAAAAAGCCAAACAGAACAGTCTTGGACCTAGTGAAATGTAATTTGGAGACAGAATAAGCAACATGACTTTCTTTCCCTTTTGATTTGCACTATTGTTCACTTTATGAATTGCAAGCAATTACTTGAATTTATGCGGCTGTGCGATGTGTATATGCAGTGCAACTGATTGTTCTGTGTATTTAAATGTAGAACCTTCTCTCATACGTCGTTTGTGTGATCATTTTAGCCTTTCACAAATCAACGTGCAAGTGAGTGAAACGTAGACTGCATGAATAAAAGTATTGAGACATCTTTTTAGAAATCTGCCGAATCATCATCAGTTTGGACAATTAGATGTGCTCAACTTTGTGGGAACAGTTTCGGGGAACGGCCATTTCTCCCCTGAGTGCGCAAAGGAGGAGCGTGATATAGAAAAGCCATGTAATAAATGGGTGAACAAAAATCCCACAGACACACTCCAAAATATCGACGAAAGTCTTCCGAGTCAAGCAGTTCCGACTGCAATGGGGGAAACAACTTCACAGTTGTCATTGCTTATCACGTCTTGTAACGTATTTTCCGCACTATAAGGCGCTTCAGAGTATAAGGTGCACCTTCAATGAATGGCCTATTTTAAAACTGTTTTCATATGTAGGGCACATCGCTACATTAGTGGTTGCGATTACGTTATGCATCCACTGGATGTAGCTACGCTAAAGGGAATACAATACAATGCAATCCATCTTTATTTATATAGAGCTTTCACAACCGCTGCAGGTGTAACAAACCGCGTGATAGAACATTTAAAATACGACGTCCAAGAAATCAGAATATTGATCCCTAAAAAGGCGCATCGGATGATAAGGCGCGCTGTCGGCTTTTGAGAAAATTGAATGCTTTTAGGTGCGCCTTATAGTGCGGAAAATACGGTAAATGGAATGGCCATGTGTCCTCGTAGTTTTGGTTATGCAGTTTACATTTTGGGATGCTAATGTGTAAGGCAACGGTGGAAAAGGAGCAGTGACTATGAAACATTGCGTAGTAAGGCATCGGGGACAATCATGATCATCTGGCATCTCAATGCCGTGGGCTTTGTGCAAGACGTCAATGAATGAATGAATGAACACTTAAATGCACTGGAGGGGTGGAAGCTGTAATTAAATGCCATCAACCTGTCATTTCATATTAAATGTATCCATTCTTGAATTGAAGTTAAAGTCCCATCATCGGTTAAAGGAGACAGATGATTCACGGCAATTAAAAACAATTCCCAAGTGTATTTATCGATGCATGTGACATGCTGTCATCAAAATAAACCAAGAATTAAAAATCACAGAATACTTAACTTTCGAGTTCAACTGTACAATGTACAAACAATGCAACATTTTCCCATTCCAAGGTGTACACTGTTGCGATTAAAAGTATCAAATAAAACCGCTCAACAGCAAATTTTATCAACGATGTCTTGATGTGTCCCTAAATGCGTTTTTGATGCTGATTTTAAAATGTCTTTGCTTTTTTTTCTAGCACATCAAGTTTTTGAGACAGTACTTAATTTTTTTCTGTTTTTAAGTTTGTGCTATAAAACCTTGCACAATACTGATTATACAAAGTACAATGCATTTTCATTTATAGCTATGACCTTTCCAAAAATTCCTCCTCTTGTTGAACCCTTTATTCATAAACATTGCTGAATATCTTACTCTCATTATACATTATATGTTATGACCTTTCCAAAAATTCCTCCTCTTGTTGAACCCTTCATTCATAAACATTGCTGAATATCTTACTCTAATTATACATTATATGTTATGATCATGATAGGCAACGGTGGAAAAGGAGCAGTGACGATGAAACATTGCGTAGTAAGGCATCGGGGACAATCATGATCATCTGGCATCTCAATGCCGTGGGCTTTGTGCAAGACATCAATGAATGAATGAATGAACACTTAAATGCACTGGAGGAGTGGAAGTTGTAATTAAATGCCATCAACCTGTCATTTCATATTAAATGTATCCATTCTTGAATTGAAGTTAAAATCCCATCATTGGTTAAAGGAGACAGATGATTCACGGCAATTAAAAACAATTCCCAAGTGTATTTATCGATGCATGTGACATGCGGTCATCAAAATAAACCAAGAATTAAAAATCACAGGATACTTAACTTTCGAGTTCAACTGTACAATGTACCAACAATGCAACATTTTCCCATTCCAAGGTGTACACTGTTGAGATTAAAAGTATCAAATAAAACCGCTCAACAGCAAATTTTAATCAGCGATGTCTTGATGTGTCCCTAAATGCGTTTTTGATGCTGATTTTAAAATGTCTTTGCTT